GATCTAGACAAGTTTTAGTCTTATTTCTGTTATATCCAATAAATTCTTGCTTTTGAGATTGAACATGTTTTTCTAACTTTAATCAAATGGTTTGGAAAATGGCGTTTGATGGAACACTTCTCTTGATTAACAGGATTATTGTCGTTTTATTTAATATCATTAGAATGTGTGCCTATTTCTCATCTTAACAATTTATACTCTGTTATAAATATTTTTCTATGTCTATATTGTAATGATCATATCCATTATTACCCGAGTTGTAATGATTTGCCAGTTTGTGTGTAGTACACCTAAATATGGGAAAGAGAAGTGGAATCTTGCAATGTGTGTTACGTTATATTCTCTTTGTTCGAGCTATTTTATTTAAAGCGTTGTTCTTGCCATGATAAAATCTGGAATCATCTAAAAGCCTGTGAATTCTCTTTTTGTTATATTTCCAATGTTCATCGATTTGCAGGACTGCTGTAATGTATTATTGATATCCGGAATGTATTGACTATGTAAATATATATATATATATATATATATAAACATGTATACTGTTCTCAGCTAAGGAATCACATTGCATTCATTCACGTCTTTCCACAAACGTTTTTTTATTTCTGAATTAATTTTTGCAAATATATATAAGAATTTATATTTTTGTATGTGAATAAAGTGTAAACACCCATTGCTCCTGTACAGTGTTTTAACCATTACATCTAATAAATGTACACTCTATTATAAATATATTTACATTTATGTCTATTTTGTAATGATTGTTTCCATTATTACTCAAGTTGTGATGATTTGGCAGTTTGTGTGCAGTACACCTAAATATGGGAAAGAGAAGTGGAATCTTGCAATGTGTGTTACGTTATATTCTCTTTGTTCAAGCTGTATTTAAAGCAAGGGAGGATGGGTTGAAAATAGATGAGAAACAATAAGAAGAAAGGAGAGAGAAAGCCAGAGAGGAAGAGATATAAAACATAAGATAAAGATTAAGGAAGGTATCAAGAGAGGATAAAGAGAAAAGCGATAGTTGAGAGATGAAAATAGAAGAGAAAGAAGAAGAAGAAACAGAGAGAGGGGGAGAATGGTATGAAAACGGAAAATAAAGAAGAAGGGAGAGAGAAAGCCCGAGGGGGGAAAGAGATAAAAATGGAAGATAGTTGAGAGATGACAATAGAAGAGAAAGAAGAAGAAGAGAGAGGGGGGGGGAATAGAATATGACATACCAGACGAGATACAATAGACATGAACAAACAAAAATTATAAACCTGTACTCAAAACGACGAATGTTGTAAATGACTTCCCACAGTTATAGTTAGGATGATTTATGACAACTGGCTTTTAGAATTGTAAACTTTGAACTCGTGCCGAGAAGCAGTGGTAGTGCTTCTTTTCATGGACCACAGGAAATACCATAATTTGGCTCTTACACGTACTCTATAAATCATAGTTTCAGCCGTACTCCATAATGGATATCTTCTTTATTGGTTGCAAAATTCCCTCGCATAATAACAACGACCCCCCTATACATGTATAGCATAAATATTAGTCTTGTATATGAACAAATGTGGACAGGCAAAGGCTGATTGTGTGCATGAAAAACAAAGTTTATTTTTAAAGAAAGGGGCGTCGACCCAGGTCGGGTCTTGAAGAAAACTGCCAACATTGCATGCTAAGAAGGGCGGGGAATGAGGAAGGGGGGGGGGGCTTTGTAATGTTCATTATTTAAGAGCACCAGTGGTTTGAATCCATGATGTTTGGCAATTTGCTGTTTCATACAATTAACGTCAAGTATTGTGGAGTTATGAATATAATTACATATCCACCCCCTGTATGGCCTCCCATCGCAGCAGCTTTCCTGACCTTCTTTTCTTCTGTAATTTCATAGCTCCTCTTCCATTCTGTAACCCTCACTCCAAATCTCAAATTTAAACTCTTTTTTTACCTCCTTCTTCTGCTCTCCACGGCATCCCTCAATCTCCTTCTAATCCCGTCACTGTCTACAGCATCATCTAATCCCCTTTCTCATGACCTCACCCTTTTCCCCATCCGTATCAACTACCTTTAATCTCCCTCACTCTCTCTTTCTTTGTTACCTCCCTTAGTCTCTCTCTCGCCTCCCCAACTCTATCTCTACCCCCTCTCTCTCTCTCTCAACCCCTCTCTCTCTCTCTCTCTCTCTCTCTCTCTCTCTCTCTCAGTATTTGCTCCCTAGTTACATTGCTAAATTGATCTTCTTTATATTACCTTCTCGCTCCTACTGCCCCTACTGCCCAACCCAATGTCTCTAATAATGATAATCTTTTAAAGTCCACTCCAAATTTTATAAAGTTAAACCGAAAATGGAAATTCTTCTTGCCCAATTGATCGTGAGCCCGGCATGCAGCCACTGAGCAGCTCCAGATCGACGTTGCTCTATCCCTTATTGTTGAACGCCAAACAAGGTAGCAGCAACTCCCGTCTTTTAACGCGGTATGACGCGGCCGGGGTTCGAACCCACGACCTCCCGGTTGTGAGGCGGACGCTCTACTGACTACTAGTATATCAAATAGAATTGACCAGTTCACAAATGTATTTGATTCAACTCCCCAACTCTATCTCCAAGCGCCCCCCCCCCCCCACCCCAATGCTACATGGAACTGAATCATTCAAAGTGTATTGAATTTAAAAGCCAGGAGTAGAATCACAGGTTTATGATGCTGCTATATATATCAATCCTAAATGTATGAATTTAAAGACGTCCAAATGCAATTCTGAATTGCTTGAATACATTTGTGAAATGGTCTCTAGTACCTAGACACTCTTGTTCAGTTTACACGATCGCACGCCACATTATGGGCTTCATACCGTATATACAAGGGTACACAGAGTAGACACACATGTAAAAGTTCAATAATTTAATCATTACAATCCACAAGAGTACACTTGCTTGACATACTTTCATTTATGTTTCAATTCTGAATCATGATCTCAAAGGTATGTCTTTCACATTTTAAATTTACTATGTCCCATTTGCAGGACAAACAAATGAAAAGGTTTAATTCCAATGGCATTTGAAAGATATTATTGATTTAGAACTTCCCTAAAAAAGGGGGGCTTGAAAATGTCTTTAAGTGGGAAAATAACGACTGGCTTTTTTTTCTTCTTTGGTAATAACATACATAAAATGAGCTGCAAAGGGTTCATGAGCATTTGTCTAGATCAATAACCCACTTCTTGTAATGGCCAAAATTAAACTGATTGAATCTTTACGCAGCATAAAGCGTACGACCATTCGGTACAACTTTCAGACCATTATTTACTGGATCTATAGCTCTTAAGTCGATTCGACAACTAATAGTCATTATTTTCTCACTTGAAGACAAGTTCTAAAATTAATATTATCTTTCAAATGCCGTTGGAATTTAACCTTTTCATTTATTTTTTTTGGCCTGCAATTGGGACATTATACCTTTAAGCTGAATGGGCTTGAGAGGCTAGACATCATTGAACAGGTAGAGGAGCCCTACATCATGTGTGAGCCCAGTTATGGTACATGTATTACCTAAACCCAATGGGTATTAACACTACATCTCAATAAATCATAAGTACTTCTTTATGTATGGCATAGTATAAATGGCCATTATCTTAATCATTAGTTGAACTGTCAGTGTACTAAAATGTTTGTTGTTGTTGTTGTTGTTGTTGAGTCTTTCCAGGATGCTCCTCACCCTGTACCTTGTGTCTGAACATGTGAGATGTAAAGCTACGATTCAAGGTGAATGTCAGTCTGTCCTGGAGGCTCATCACCCTGTACCTTGTGTCTGAACATGTGAGATGTAAAGCTATGATTCAAGGTGAATGTCAGTCTGTCCAGGAGGCTCCTCACCCTGTACCTTGTGTCTGAACATGTGAGATGTAAAGCTATGATTCAAGGTGAATGTCAGTCTGTCCTGGAGGCTCCTCACCCTGTACCTTGTGTCTAAACATGTGAGATGTAAAGCTATGATTCAAGGTGAATGTCAGTCTATCCTGGAGGCTCCTCACCCTGTACCTTGTGTCTGAACATGTGAGATATAAAGCTATGATTCAAGGTGAATGTCAGTCTGTCCAGGAGGCTCCTCACCCTGTATCTTGTGTCTGAACATGTGAGATGTAAAGCTATGATTCAAGGTGAATGTCAGTCTGTCCTGGAGGCTCCTCACCCTGTACCTTGTGTCTGTACATGTGAGATGTAAAGCTATGATTCAAGGTGAATGTCAGTCTGTCCAGGAGGCTCCTCACCCTGTACCTTGTGTCTGAACATGTGAGATGTAAAGCTATGATTCAAGGTGAATGTCAGTCTGTCTTGGAGGCTCCTCACCCTGTACCTTGTGTCTGAACATGTGAGATGTAAAGCTATGGTTCAAGGTGAATGTCAGTCTGTCCTGGAGGCTCCTCACCCTGTACCTTGTGTCTGAACATGTGAGATGTAAAGCTATGATTCAAGGTGAATGTCAGTCTGTCCTGGAGGCTCCTCACCCTGTACCTTGTGTCTGAACATGTGAGATGTAAAGCTATGATTCAAGGTGAATGTCAGTCTGTCCTGGAGGCTCCTCACCCTGTACCTTGTGTCTGAACGTGTGAGATGTAAAGCTATGATTCAAGGTGAATGTCAGTCTGTCCTGGAGGCTCCTCACCCTGTACCTTGTGTCTGAACATGTGAGATGTAAAGCTATGATTCAAGGTGAATGTCAGTCTGTCCTGGAGGCTCCTCACCCTGTACCTTGTGTCTGAACATGTGAGATGTAAAGCTATGATTCAAGGTGAATGTCAGTCTGTCCTGGAGGCTCCTCATCCTGTATCTTGTGTCTGAACATGTGAGATGTAAAGCTATGATTCAAGGTGAATGTCAGTCTGTCCTGGAGGCTCCTCACCCTGTACCTTGTGTCTGAACATGTGAGATGTAAAGCTATGATTCAAGGTGAATGTCAGTCTGTCCAGGAGGCTCCTCACCCTGTACCTTGTGTCTGAACATGTGAGATGTAAAGCTATGATTCAAGGTGAATGTCAGTCTGTCCTGGAGGCTCCTCACCCTGTACCTTGTGTCTGAACATGTGAGATGTAAAGCTATGATTCAATGTGAATGTCTTCAAGCAGATGTGGCATGTGAACGGTCTCTTCTCCTCGTGCATACTCTGCATGTGAACCTGTAAACTATGCTTCACGGTGAACCCTTTGCCACACTGCAAGCACACGAAGGGTCGGATGCCCTTGTGGCGTCTCTCATGCTTGGTCAAGCCTCCTTTATCTGAGAACCCTTTGTTGCAGACAGGGCAGAAGAAGCGTAAGGGGCGTGTCTGGTGCATCCGTCTCTTGTGCTGGTAGACAGCGTTCTTGACCCGGAAGCCACGTCCGCAGAGGTCACACTTGAAAGGCTTCAGACCGTTGTGTTCTCCTTGATGGTTGTTCAGAGCGGTCTCTGAGGCAAAGGATCGAGCACAGAGGTTACATCGGTACAACCGATGCTGCTCGTGGTTCTTGACGTGATCCAGGAAACGAGCTTCGTTCATGAACATCCTCCCGCAATCTGTGCATTTATACGTTCCTTTACCTTCATGGACTTCCTTCTCATGCTCATACGCTTTGGTCTTATCAACATACCTCTTGGTGCAGTAGCGACATTTGAAAGGTCTTGGCCTGATGTAATAGTCAGCCGCTTTACCCAACATGTCTTGGGGCTCCTGAGGTTTATTTTTGGCTTTCCTGTTTCTAGACTGCATCGATAATCTTCCACTTTGCATTCTTGTTTTATTGCCTACATTTGGAATTTCCTCTTCATCAGGTAGAGAGGCTCTTTTTTCAATAATAGTATTTGAACTTCCAATAATATTTTTAATATTTTCATCAATATTCGCTGTCTGTTTCTTCGTTCTTTTTTCACCTTCTAGTTTCATTCTGCGATCTCTCTTTTTAGGTGTGTCTACGACGTCCTTGAACTCTTTGTGTGTTATCTCGTGCTTCAAGCACTCTAGCTTCTTGGCGAATCGTGTGGAGCATATCCTACAGGAATGATTCCTAACCACCGGTTTACCATGCATATCACGCTCATGTCTGTACAGCGCACCTCTGGTCTTGTACGCCTTGTCGTACTTGGTGCACTTATGAGTCCTGCTGACGTGTCTCGCCATGTGTTTCGTCAGCATGAAAGTATTCCTCTGCCTTTCTCCACACACCGGACATGTGTGCTCTTCTGTGAATTCATGGAACATGGCATGAGCTTCAAGCCTTCCTTCCGAAGGGAAGTTCTTCCCGCAGACGGTACAGACATAGTGCTTAACCAGCTCAACTGTGTCTTCTGTCTCCGTCAGTTTCTCAAAGCCAGGCTGATTACTCGACTTCATTCTTGGTTTTCACCTTCCACGTGACGACGGGACATAGTTCTTTGGATGTTTCGGTCTCATGCTCATCTTCTTAGCAGACGGAAGCCTGGTGCTGAATTGGTTGCATTCAAACTCATCATCCTCTGTTGAAAAAAAGAGAAGAAAAAGAAGGATCACAACACTAAAGATACAAATACATTCTACAAAATTTCCCTCCCCCCCCCCATTCCTAAACTCGTTACGTAGGCGGTTTAAAGCCCATCTGTACTAGTTTACGGGAGGGATTAGACCACCCTGCAAGGTCACTGACAGTTGGTTATCTCATCAATTCAGCTCTCAATTAACATAAGAAAAAGAAGATCATGGGGGACCAATGGTCACTGATTAAGCATCGTTTGCTATATAGAAGGCGCAAGTAGCTTTAAAGTAGATCGACTGGTAAAAGAGAAATAGAATTCCATTGTTCACATGAAAGTACTTTAACTTTCTAAGAAAGTACAAACGCTGGTTGCATTTTGTTAGGGTGTACTTTGACTTGTCTTCCCAAGACAGCTTCAGTTGTCGATTTCTGTGCCTATGTTTATATAACTTTCAACATTCTCAATGGTATCATCATTAAAGTATGTCTATCAATGGGTTCAAAACATTTCTTTTGCCTAAAGTCAAAAAAGATTTCTTTTGTTTTCTTTGAGTTCAGCAGTAAATGGGTGTCCCCTACACCAATTTTCGAACATTTAAATGGTAGCTCTGTAATCAAATTCATTTTCATTTTCAATCAATCCTATTACTGTATCATATGCATATTTAATTATGGGAAAAGATGGGGTATTTGACAAACATTCATTGGTGTACAGGGTAAATAGGGTCGCAGAGAGGACACACCCTTGTGGGGTACCAATTGTGATAAGTTCGTCAGAGAGAACACCGTTGACCTTGACATTCTGTGTCCTTTCATGGAGGAAGTCTCGCAGCCACAATAGAGAGGGCTGAACTTTTAGATGTTGAAGTTTCTGTAGTATGATAAGGGGTTTTATAGTGTTAAATGCCGATGAGAAGTCAACGCAAGTTGCTCTGGCATGAACACCGGCCTTGCCTTATCGAAGTGTTCGTACAGCATGTTTGTAAAGGTGAGAACTGCATCAGTAATAACGGAACGCTTCGCTATATATACAAACTGGTTTACATCGAGTAGCGGGAGACCTGAGCTTGTCAGCTTTGCAAGCTAGTACCAGTCTTTCCAGGCTTTTCATAACAACCGATGTCAGTGCGATAGGGGGAAATCCCCATTCGCGTTGGGGCGATTGTTCTTGTCATATTGTCATACCGTCCTAATATATTATTTTGGCGGTTTGAGTGTAAGAGAGACAGAGAAAGGAAGAGAGACAGAGAAAGGAAGAAAGAGGGAGCAGACGGAAAGAATGAGAGAGGGAGAGAAGAGAGAGCGATGAAAGAGTGAGGGAGAGAGGGAGAGAGAGATGGAAAAGAGCGAGACCGATGAATTAAGAATGGGAGAGAGATCGAGAGAGAGATCGAGAGAGAGAGAAAGAGGAAGTTTTAACTATATGCATGGACATTGAAGGGCCGGGCACTGCAATACTATCAAATCCACATTAAAAAGAGACACATATATTTAATTTCTTTTGAGATTATACATCACAATTAGATTTTCGATATAAAAAAAAAGAAGCATGATCCATGGTTGAAACATTAATAAGCCAAAAGAATCATTGTAAGTTTTTTCCACATTTAGTACAGAGAAAAAGTATTGCACAAAATATTGATCATTGAGACGAGTATAGCCGTGCATTGGGCTATATCTGAGTGCCCGCGTTCATTTCGCAAATTAAAGCCCCACTGCACCACTTGTAGCTACTTGCTCCCTCTATATAGAAAACAATGCCTAAGCGGTCCCCGTTGGTCCCCCATGATCCACTTTTTCTTAGGTTAATTGAGAGCTGAGTTGATGAGAATTGGAATTTTCTAGATTCGCTAGTGTAGGTAGATTTAAATGATTGAATTGTGGGAAAGGTACTCAGATACAATGGCAGTTGATATATTGAAGTCCCCTCCCCCATTCAAAGTAGTTTCTGGCAACAGACTAGGGTTTCTAATTGTTGAGTGGAATGCCCTACATTTCCATCACAATGCCCATCAGGACCGACTCACGCATGAGCGAGATCGAAATATGTTTTCTTTTGTTTGGTTCGTTAGTTCTAGTTATATGTATTTTGCTCTGGTTTCGTTTTTGGACCATAATAATTATGATCCAACTGATATGCATGAGGTACCTGCTCAATGTCAAGTCACCAGACGGTGAAATACAGACTTACGCAGCCTATGTCTTTCATTTCATACTGATTATCCGTTGCTTCAACATGACAATCTGATGGAACGAAGCACATGATTTGTGCAAAGGGAATCTGCATTAGATTGATTTCTAGATCATTTTCTTTGACACACTGCATGTTTTGACATCTGTCAACCCGGATTCATGACCTAGAGACAAAATCTCCTCTTATCTTGCGAAAGAAACATTGTAAACACCTTTATAACACGTTCTAGAAGAGACCTCTCATGTCACTTGTTGCCAGTTACTTTAATTTGAATCTTGTAAGATCATATGAGAATCCTTTCAGCTCGGCTATAATTGGATAACTATTTCTGAGGAGAGGACTCGACGCCTCGTTCCACGATTCATTTCGCATTTAGCAGGATCTAGGCAAACAGTGAGTATGACATATAATTTTTGACTCGTTACCTCTATATTTTGTTGATCCCAGCAATAGCCACTGTATAAGCTCATCAGAAATAGAGTTACATTTAATCCATGTATATAATGCAAAAACCGTAATTCTTAGTAAATATCATACACAATTTGACTAAATATTATTTGTATTGTGAGAACGATGAGAAGGTGGACTATACCCACATTAGCATATAATAGTTTATTTATTCGGAAATCACATTGCAGCCCGAAAGCTGAATTGCACGATATTTTACAATTCTGTGAAACAAAAACATGCGATTATAATGAACCTTGTATAAAGCATTACACGAAATAATAACTGCATTAAAAAATTTGAAACATAATATATTCAACAAATATTCTTTTACATTTTAAACCGAAATAGCTCGACATTATTAGATGGTATAAAAGCACATAGATTAATAGATGATCGGATTGAGAGAGGGAGATAGAGAATCAAGAAGCAAGATAGAAAAAGTTGGGAGTCAGAGAGAAGGTGGAGAGAGAAAGAGGAAGATATAGAAAGGGAGAGGGAGTGAGGGACAGATGAAGATAGAGAAAGAGAGGGGGAAGTTTGATAGAGAGAGAGAGAGAGAGAGAGAGGGAGAAAGAGAGAGAGAGAGGGGGGGGGAAGAGGGAGAAAGAGAGGATAAAATAGGAGTAATTGTACGTGAGAGAAGAATATCTCAAGCAGCGATAAGATAGCAAGAGTAAAAGAGGGAGGTAGAAAATAAAGGAAAATTGAAAGAAAGAAGAAGAAAACAAAGAGGAAGAACTAATTCTGGAAGAAAAATACCATCAGGGAAAAACTAAGAATCAGGAGTGACAAAAAACAGAAATAAGGCTTTAGGTATGTTTTAAAATGTTTCATCGTCAGATGAGAGAGAGCAGAACGAGGAACAACGATTACATGTACATGATATATTGATATGAGGATATTGTAAAATAAAATTTAGTCCATCATTAAAAAGGTTATATGTTTAAACTACTACTTAAAAAGGTAAAAGTAGATGAATTATACACTATATACAGATTCCTAAAAAAAGGGGATATTATTTACATTTAAAACATAAAATATGTAAAATGTTGGATGCGAGGAAATAGGCAATAACAAATGCAAGGCAGATGTATATATTATAGGATGTTGATTAAGTGGGAGAGCGAGAGAGAGAGAGAGAGAGGGAGAGGGGAATAAGAAAAAGTAGTATGTGAGCGAACGAATAACAGAAGGGAGGAATGAGTAATATAGTAAAAGAGAGAAAATGGAAGGAGGTGAAAGAGAAAGTCCAAATTCATCAATATCCAAATCTAAGATACGGGTAAACCGAACATCATCCCTAGATTATAACTACATTGATTCCAATATCCACGTACATGATATCATCAAAGGCAATCATATGATTACTATTATCAGTCTCAATAGACTTTTCATGAGGTATTGTTTAGTATGTCAAGAAAGAAAGGGATAGGGCTAATTTTTCTGTACCTTTCTGTCCTACAGCGCATTTGTTGGTAGTTGGTTTTATTTCTAAGTGATCGGGAACCTTCATATTGTCTCCTAAGGGGTAACCAGCTATTGAAGTGGCTAGATTTCGTGAGGGCCTGGGCAAATTTCTTACAAAGATGAATCCTTCTAACTTCAAGTTTGTCAAGTTGTGTGTATTCCAGCGCTCCGTCGTAAGATGAATAAGCAGAACCCATGATCAAACGATGTCTTAAGTTTCTTAAGTCTAAACCTGGGCAAGAATAAGGCATTTTGACACTGGTAACGTATGGAACATCATCTTGTTCGAAGCGGTTCCCTAAAGATCTCCGGTAGGATAATGGACTTTGCATTTAATGAACCTAGAAAAGGTCTTTACGGCGTCGGCGTCGGAGCTTCCTGGAGTTAGTGTATTACAAGCTTCTGAAGGGAGTAGGACTCACTTCTGATGTTTATTTTGTAATTTAATGCCATGTATAGGTACTAAAATTCAAGTAAAAACCGTAGTAGTTATCAAGAATATTAATTACCTTCCATTATAGGTTCATATCATGAGATTATTGCATGGTATTTCAGTCACGTGCAAAGTATCTTTAAAAAAACAAAGAAAATGCAATAAATTATCAATAATTCATTGCATTTTACCCCGGTCCCCAACCTAATAGTTTCCTCTGTAGGGCCATGCATTATGGTTCAAGGCATGCCCACATAGATGATTTTTTTATGTTGGGGGTTGGGGCCGCAAAATGCAATGAATTATTGATAATTTATTGCATTTTCTTGTTTTCTTTT